TGTGGGTTGGACTTTTGTCTCATTGGTGTTGTTTCTCCCTAGTAAATCCCTCTCGAAAGACCCAACAAGTGAATTCCTCCATATTGTTGCTCAACCCACATAAGGATTTACTGAGGAGAAACAACACCAATGAAACAAGAGTCCAACCCACATTAAGATTGACACTACTCTCAACCAAAAACCTTAAGATATTAGGTTATGGATCATACTTTCTTATATGTTGCTTAATTTTTTCATTTTTACACAATGTGAGACTTAGAATCACACTTGGATTCTCAACAAATAGTAAAATTGAAAATTGAACATAACATAGGATATTGAATGTTGAATTTGAAATAGTAATCATAAAATGTTGTACCAGCAAACTCTAGGATTGTGAATGTAATCTTGAAATGGAAATTATAATTATATTATACACGAATTGGAATTGAAATAAAAGTAAAAATAGAATTTAGAACTCAGATGATAACAAAACCACCTACAACAAAGTTATCAGACTAGAGAGTTTACGTAAACTCTTCAAAGATCGGTAAACTTGATTCGTAAATTCAACTCATAGATTTGTAAGAGTATACTTCATATGAAAAATACCAATTTAATAATAAATATAATCATATCAATTCCTCATTATTAAAATAATCAAAATAAAAAGTTAATTAAATGTCTAAAATCTCTCCATCTATTCAAAATCCTAAAATTTCAAATCCTTCAATCTCTCAATCTAACCTATCCCTCAAATCCCTAAAATCCTAAAATATCAAATCCCTCAATTCCTCAATCTAGCCTAAAGGGGCGGTGAGTAGCGGCAAGGAGCGCGACCCACACACAACCACCTTGCTACCAATGCGCGACCTAGGCAAGCGTCGTGCGATCACTATGCGACCAAAGAAGAAATGAGGAGCGTCAAAGAAGATCTAAGTTTTTCTTTTCTTTCAAACTCGGTGACTTGTCTCTGACTCGCGAGTTTACTCAAAGTCCACTGAGTTTGATTCCGAGTCTACTCTAAAACGAGTTAACTCCTATTCGATTATTTGACTCATTAACTCGTATGAGTCAGTGAATTGACACGCAAGTTTGATAACCAAGGTTTTAGGAATTGTGCCATGTTAACACACATGAACAACTTGTGCCTTTATTTGATGTTTTATGAATTGAAAACTCTAATGCATTCTTGATGACGAATGCAAGTAGCTAACAAAAGTATTACTCTTTGGTGGCCTATACTCTGGTAGCAACTCAACAAATATGTACCTCACTCCATGTGCATTACAAAGGTCTTCTTGGCATTGACCATTTCTACCATTTTTGCTTAAATCCCTTAAAACTTTCCTTGTTAATCACAATCTCCTTCTCCATCATTTTTTCATAGGGATATCAAAATAGGTTTAGTTCGATAGGTCAGCCCGAAAGGCTCGAAAAATAAGTCAGGCTAAGCCAAAAAATTTGTGTCCTAAATTAAATTAGCCTTTTTTTTATAAATAATATTATTTTATTAAAAGTGTATATGTATTATAAATTAATTTGATAAAAGATTTACTTATTTCAATGTTAAATATTATAGTAATTCTCTAACAATCACTGATTCCAAAATTTAATGGTTAAGATTAATTATTATTTTTATATTAATGGTTATTTTTAAACCAAATATTCATAGATAGCTTTTCTCCTATTATACTTTCCAAGAGGAGATAAATCATGTATTAGCTTTAAAGAACCAAAAATGTACATTGTTTAGTCTATTTGGGAATAAAAATTATCATTTTGACGTTTAACAAAAAAAATTATCATTTTGACGTTTAACAAAAAAAACTATCATTTTGATGTTTAACAAATTTGTTGGAAATCATTTTCAAGATTACATGTTTTCATTAAATAGTCTCCTATTATGACAATTAATGTTTTCTTCTACAAATTTGACATTTTGGCCAACTATACAATGTCCTAAACCTTAACATACCTCTAACAATGCAAAACCTATTACTTTAGACCTTATATTAAATCCTTCCCTCTTTTCAACATATCTACTTGTTAAATCACTAAATAATGTTCTACTAATTTTAACATTTTATCCAATGATGTCAACCATGTACATAGTGTTGACTCAATGTAAGCCTTTTACTCATTTGTTAGAATGTTATTCACTTCACCAAAATACTTTATCTGACAAACATGACACAAATATACCTGAAAATGACAAAAAATAATTATACTAATCACCAACAATATCCAACATTCTAAAAATAATTAGAATATTCACCTTCTTAGCATTTGAAGATTCATAATCTATGCTTATATGTGTTGCCATTTGTATTGCAAATACATGTAAACAAATAACTTTAATGCATATAGATCAAAATGATTTCAAGAAAAATAATTTACTCTTAAATGGTTATTTCATTTGGGTGACTAATATTTCTTTTTAAGTGTCAAGGGACAATTTTCTTATTCTAAAGAAGTATTGAATATACTAGAAGAAAGTTTGAAAACTCCAAGTTACTATTACCTAACATACGCTAAATGGTTTCCAAATATAATTGTTTATTCTTACCCTTGAATATTGTCTATAATTGTATAACAATATATTTCACTTTGCATTTTTTTCTTATTAAATTTCACCTTCAATTAAAATTTATTAAATTAATAGAAAGAATTACATTTTCTTTTGGATTAAGCATATCATTTAGAAGCATATATATTCAAGTTTTCAAGACTCGAATATCTTTCCTTGATGATAATATCTTTCCTTGATAATATGTTGAGACACTAAGCAGAAAATTATGTTATGTATAATCATTTGAACAACTTTTATCACTCAAATCAATATGGATTTCATGATAAACCTAATTTGCTTAAGTTCATATTATCTTCGGGTCATTATGACTTTCTATGTTTAATTTTTCATAATATACATATATCATATAATTTATTTACTATCATGACATCTAGTAAATGTCTAGCATGTGTATAACACAATTTCATAATAGAGTATGAGTATCATTTAACAATCAATATCATAAAAGTCATGTCAAAGTAGATACTCCTTTTGACTTTTAAGGGTCAAGAATATGCGCTTAACAAATAACCATATGTCAAAGATAAACTTCAATATCTAATATTTGAATTTACTAATTGAAATCATAAATATCTATATTTTCTCTTACTAACAAGCAAGGAAGCAATATAAACTCAATTTATGACATATGAAGAAGTAGAAAATACGTGTAATCTAGTACAAAAGAGAAATCTAATGTTGAATGAACAAACTCAAACATTTAATATATTAAGATTTATGATGACATAGCTACAAAATTCTCATTTACAAAAGAGAAATGTGATTTTGATAAAATAAATGTTAACTTTAAGTTTAAACAAATAATATGTGTAGATATAAGAATGTTGCTTACACATTGTAAAATATAAGAAAATTTGAAAATTTCAAGTTACTATTACCAACACAAGCCAAATGATCTCAAATTCAACATAATATTCTTACCTTGAATATTGTCTACTAACATATTTCACTTGCATGTTTTTCTTATTAATTTTTTGCCTTCAATTGAAATTTCTTAAATTAATAAAAAGAATTTTTTTTTTTTTTACAATTAGACATATAATCTATGATAATATATATTGAAGTTTTTAAAACTTCATATATTTCCTTCATAATATGCTCAGGTATGGAAGCAAAAGATTATGGTCTCGTATTTAAATTTTCATCAATTCCTAAAACTAGAAAGTTACATAACATGAAACTGGAAATCTAATAATAATAATCATGAATAAAAATTAAACCTAAATAGAACAAATGAGAAATAAAGCTATGAGAGAATGAACACAAAAAATAAGAGCCAATAATAATGGAAATAACATCAGGAGTGATAATGGCAAAGACAACTACAAAAGGAGGGACAACAACACCAAAGTAGAAGTGACAACGACAATAAAATTGATAATAATAGTAATAATGATAATGATCTTAGGACAATTATAATAATAATAGTTACGATAGTGACAATTGGGAGCAATCTCAATAGCAACCACAACAAATGCGAACCAAAAAGATAATGTGGGAACGAGGGTCCAAACAAATAAGAGAGAAGAGAAATAAGAATAATCTCAAAAAAGAGAAAAAAATGAGAGAAAAGAAATGAAACATGTAAAAAGGTAAAAAATAAATAAAAGAATACCGATAAATAAATAAATATTATATTATTAGATTTATATTTATCAAAATTAATTTTTTTATATATCACGATCTAAAATAAAAATTTATCTCTTAAATAAACTTAAATAATTTTACTATTATTTTATAATTTTAAAGTTATATTTTTAATTTCGAAAATACTAAGTGTAATAATACATCAAACAAGTACAAACTTTATTGGTTTATTTTTATTTGACAATTTTTTTTTAAGTTTGATGAAGAGAGAAAAAAATTGTACCAATGTGAATATAATATTTTTTTTAAGAGTAAAATAGATAAATAATAATTTTTTAATTTTTTTTATCTATTTTTATTTTATCAGTCTAATTTTTTCTAATCTATTTCTCTCTTCTCTATCAAGGCCAGTGATGAATACTTTCACTTGATACAAAATTGGTTGGATTACATTTTTCTATAATCTAACTTAGTCTGAATATTACAACCTTATAAATGTACAAGATTACATAATTCACTGAAGAGAAAATTAAGATATACTTCTACTTTAAAAAATTTGAAAATCCAAAAAAAATCTTATTAAATATTAATATAACCTACGTGAGTATGAATTTTAATTAAAAAAAATGAGACAAAATTACCCATGAACATAATCCAATATTTGTTTTGGTCCACTTTATTCCTCACTCCACTTCAGATCTTTGAGTGACCCTTTATCCTGTGATAACTCTTCCATCTCTAACAGTGAGACACAGAACAAGATAACACTGACTGAATCAAAGAGCCACCACCACCACCCAAACGCAGCCTTTGTAAATTAACTTCTGGCTCTAACCCCGCCATGGCCGCACCATCCTCACTGTTTTCCCTCTCCTTCCCCTTCGACCCTCAAATCCAAACACTCTCTTTCTCTTTCTCATTCTCTTTCCCCTCTCACTTCTCTCTCTTCTCCTCCACCAAACCCCGTTACCCCTCTTTCAAAGTTTCCTCTTCCCACTCCTCCTCCCCCCTCACCTCCAGCTTCCTCACCGATGACGACCTCCGCCGCCTCCGCTCCCTCGAATCCTTCCTCTACCGCCGTGACCTCCCGTCCGGCTCCCTCTCCGTCCGCCTCATGCGGCCCGACGAGACTCGCCCCACCGTCCTCCTCCTCGCCCAATCCTTCGCCGAATCCTTGCTCATCCCCGCCGCCTATGTCAACCTCCTCGCTTTCCTCATCAACCAGTACCTCCTCCAACGCATGACCCTTATGCCCAACACCGCCACGCTCGTTGCCTTCTACACCCAAACACCAACCTCATCACCACCTATTGGTGCTGGTAAAGAAGAGGAGAAAGAAAAACTAGAACAAGAAGAAGAAGAAGCTCACTTGGCGGGAACTGTGGAGATCTGTTTCAACAGAAGAGGCGCCAATGCTTCCGTTCCCACGCCCACCCCTCCCAGGGACTCGCCCTACATTTGTAACATGGCCGTGCAAAAATCTCTTAGGAGGTATCTGCACTCTTCCTTACAATTACTTAAAGACAACTTCTTTATCTTTCTATGTATGATTGGATATGAATTTTCTGTCAAATTAATTTTGAGTAATTAGTAGGTTTTACACTATTGTACAATCACAAACATGGTTGAGATGGAAAACCACAGAAAAAAGTTATTAGTCAAATTTCTTGATGGAATTTAATCATTGAGATAGTAGATGAATACTTAGTATATATACTAACATGATTATAAAAGGAAAACAATCACAAACTGTTCTATGTATGTAGTTTCTTAACATTCATAGTAGTTACCTAGAAGTCATGTAATAATGATTTTTTTCTGGATGGCAGAATATCACTTACATCTAATCACAAACCCAGAATCCCATGTATGGTTAATTCATTGATTTCTACCATCTATATTAAAGGTGATCGATCCAAGTTTTCTGAAGGAAATCAATTATTGACAAAGTCACTGAATACTTTGTACTTACGACATGATTATGAAAAGAAAACAATCCCAAATTGTTGTCATATACACAGTACTTAGTTTCTTAACTTTTAATATAATTACATTAAAATTAATATAATAATTATCTTCATATGGATGACAAAGTAAAACTTTCATCTAATCACAAACCCTACGTATAGTAAATTCATTTTTTTACCATAAATGCACGTGTAGGAACTTCAGGCGTAATTTTGTGTTTATGTGATGGACAAATATTATCAAGTTCGTTGGATTTTGTTGTTGTTTTTATTTTTTTGAGAATTGGAGTTTTACCTCCATAATCTCTATAACAAAAGATTGCAGTAGTTATCAGCATAAGTTACTGGGGTGATACTTCAATTATAAGTTGAGAATAGTACCAATAGCATCTAAGGAACTAAATTGAGTTTTTTGTAGTGTGATGAACTTCATATTTTTTATAGATTTTCTTGAGTATTTATGCATAAGTTTTATGTACCTGATGTAACTGTAACTTCTAGATTTGCTTAGGTTGGTTATTACTTGGGAGAAATATTAGTATACTTATTTTTTTCATTAGCACTGTGGTTTTGGGTTTGATTAAAAAATTATTGAATAAATTTGTTCAAGTTCATTGATTAATTCAACGTGTGCTTTTGCTAAATTTTGATGTCATGATCATTGTTTGCACTGATGAGTAAGATAAGCCTTTCAGTTGTTTTTGGACAAATGTTATATTCTGGGCCCAAATTTGAATATTATCAGTTTATATTGGTTGAACTGAACGTGCACAGCATGCCTGTTCAAGAAATTGAGTCTTGAGTTGAAATGTTCAATAGGGTGGAAACTTGAAGAGCTTGTGTTTTGATTCATGTTGTGGAACAAATGTGTCTATAAATAGTTTGAAAGACTCAACTGGTTCATGTCAAGAATCAAAAGTTCTTGAAATGGGCTTTATTCTAAAATTATGTGAAAATTGTGAATGTCTTCCTCTGGTGGAATCTAAAGATGTCTTAATTGTGTGTTGTCTCTCCATTCATTTAAGTGAGGTGGGAGATAATTATGTACTTTTGATATGTTTATCTGCAATTTTACCTTGCTTCTTTCATGTGGCATGATAATCATTTTCATCAATAGCAATATGAGTAGGGAAAACCCAAAATTAAATTTAATTACTTAAGCGTTTAAGCTACCTATTTTACCATGATAGATTCTCAATTTTTTAATTAAATATTTAATTTATATCTGTTGACTACAGCGAGACATTGACATCATCCTTGCAACAGCAACTATATTCTTGTTTCCAAGTACAAAATGCCATGCTCGTGTTTAAAACTTTCATGGTCTACTTTCCGTGAATGAATGTATGCCTATTGCAAAGCCTTTCATAGTTGCATTGAGCATCAAAGTTTATTATCAAGTTAATCCAATCTGACACATTGTTATTCCTAAATCCCCATGTCTTAGCTCACATTTTAAAACTTTTGGTTAAGCAAAATTTTTTTGGATTGTCTTTGACTGTGAAACTACCTGAATGTAGCTAACTTTCTAAGTGTATGTTTTTTGGTAATTCTATTCAGGAGGGGCATTGGCTGGCATCTTCTAAAGGCAAGTGAGGAATTGATTTCTCAGATGAGTTCCTCAAGAGAGGTTTACTTGCATTGCAGAATGATTGATGAAGCTCCATTTAAAATGTATACAAAAGCAGACTACAAAGTTGTAAAGACAGATAGTATTTTAGTCCTACTGATGTTGCAGAGGCGCAAGCACTTGATGTGCAAGAAACTCCCACTTTTAAGTACGACTTCAGAAACAGATCTGTCAGAGTATGACAAGCAAAAGACTATGTGAATGTGTATATGGGTTGCAAAATATTTGTCAAGGTAATGTTGTCACTGTCTCATTTTCCTTGAAAGCTTGTATCAGTGTATGTTATGTCTAGCTTCCACACGATCCTATACTCAAATATATGTCCTATGATAAAGTTTCTTATTTGTAATTGTGGAATATCTGTTTCAGCAATGCAAGATGACTATGGTGGTTTTAAGTTTGACTGGAGATTAGAGATGGGCATCACGCATCCTTATTTATTTCTCTTATCTTTAGGACAGGGACTGAATGTTACAGGTAAATTACTGCATACTGTTTTCTAAATTCTTTATTTCCTTGTCTGGCTTAGACAGACCGTAATGGACATTGTAAATCTGTTAGTGGTAACATGTAATAAAATACTAAGTCAAACACATGGTTCTTTCTGGAAGAACCTAACATTCGATGCATGGAAATTGCGAATCTTATTAACTCTGTATTCTTCAATAATATCAAAACAATGATTTATGTATGTTTCTATATTGTATGGCTTATTGATCATTCATGAAATTAGAAATTGGCTTATAGAATCTGTTGAACCATGCCAATCATATATGCCCAAATGAAATATTAATGTTAGGAAGTCAGGAAACATTTTCCGGGGAAGTGGTTTATTTTGTTGTGGTCTCTTACGTACTCCTGTCATGTGACTAAAATGGGTGAGTAGCATGAGGGCATGAGTGAGGGTGAAGAGAAATGGAAATGCTCTTTCTACTCTGCCCATGATTGATTTAGTTCCTCATCTCCTAAAATCAGCCAAGTTGTTATGCTTTGTACTGATCACATTTGTCTGTTTGGCATATATATATGAATGGAAGAACTGTTGGAGTTCACTTTTTATTGTCATCAAGAAATCATCATAATTCCAGTGTCTAAACTTTGTGATTTCACTAGATCATTCTCAAAGTATGCATAACCATACCCAAGCCTTTTGAATTTGTATAGATAATCATTAGGAGTTCTTTTACACATTCTGCCATTGATGGTCTCTCATTACTCTCGGTTCGAATACATCTTGATGCCAGATTGGCAAACATGACTATAGACTGAATGGTGTAAGAATTTCGAGCCATCTCTGGATCTATAACCTTGCGAAGCTTCTTCCGGTCATTCAGGATGTTCCTCACCTGCATATGAATGATAATGAATTAAAGTCTCGCAGTTTTATGAATCTAATGATCTCAATGATAGGCCCAATATAACAGAATGGATATTAGCCTAGAAAATTCAGAGGTAAACCCTCTGTAGTAAAGTAGAACAGCAAGGAAAGAAAATCCAGAAACAGGTAACACTAGTGTCCTAAATGCCAAGGGAATATGCAATCCTCTCCTGAGTCACTCAACAAATGCATAAACCTCTTATATCCCCCCACTTCCTTGAGCTTATTTTGCATTCTAGTCGTGGTACCCGAATCATTATCCTCTCCAATAGAATTGTGCAAGCAGGCCTGTTTGTTAACTACCTCAATAGTCTCTTTTTTTTTTTTTTTTTCTCTGCTTGGTATGCTGTTCCCCAATTACCCTCCTTATTTCCCCTCTCCTCTTCATGCGTCCCAGTTTGCTTCTTTGGTTCATTCCTTTGTTTGAAGGACATAACCCATTTTGTTTCTTCTTCCTACTTTGAACATAGGCCAATGACACCCCCCCCAATGAGAGTAAAATATCAGATTCCGTCGCTACTAGTGGTGAAATATGCTTGGTTGTTGTTGCATTAATCTACAATTCTTGAACATGTAAACCACGGGTGTCTGTCTGAATGTGTGTGTGTTGGGGGGGGGGGGCAGGTATTTCAAGTAAAAGTACTGTCTTGTTTTGAGGGGAGCTAATTTTGAGCATTCAATGTCCCATGATGGCATTACAAATTTTCTCAAACTAAGTCACATCACTCTGTTTGATGGTACTTGCATAATACAATGGTTAGGATATGTTCTTCTCTTCTCACTCTTACAATAAACTATTTCGCTCACTTTATAATCACACAAACAAATTTCTAGGGAGAAAGTTACAGGTACAAACATGAGCTGTAAGTACAACCATTCATGATGATCAAGACTATGTTTTTTATGCCATGTATTTTAATTTTGACTATTAATTATAGGATCTAATGGTTTTAATATTAATTTTTCTCAGTCACATTAAACAAAAGTTTTCACTTTATTATTTTTCTAATGCAACAATGACAACAACTAAACTTGTCCTATTAGGTTAGATCAGGGACATGAATCATACAATGCCATAATGTGTGTTGATCATGTCCACAGGCATCTATTGACCATTTTATTTTTTTTTAATGGTTTTGCCTATGGTTTCTCTTAGTCTTCCTCTGCCTCCAATGATTGAATTATCCTCTATCTAATGTGCTCTCCTTGCCAACACTTTCTACCAATTGTTTGCGCACATGCCCAAACCATTAAAGGCAAGTTTCTACCATCTGTTCTACAATCGATACAACTCTCTTTTTTCTCAAATGCATTATTATTATTACAAAATATAATATATAATAATAATGCATGGTTATTTTCTAATAACATATAAAAAAATATAGTGGCAAGTTTCAAGGGCCTATATGTTTGCCTATATAATATATAAGGATCAATGCTGAAAGTGTGTGGGCACATGTGCTGGTACATTTTCTACCTGTAGTACAAGGTTTTGATCGTTGGGACCTTGGTTTAGATCCACCGCTCGACGTCCAGTCAAAAGCTCCAAAAGAACAACACCAAAAGCATAAACATCACTTTGTAGAGTGAGTTTTCCAGTCTGTTGTCAAATTAAATAATTTAATTATGTTAGTGTAAGAACTCGTATTTAGCAATCCACTCTAGATACAAGGAGACAGAAGGTGAAAGATTGCAAGAGAGCATGTTGTTGATATACACATTTGATTTGAGAGATAAAACTGCTTCTTCATATGCTGCATTCTTAGATGATTGAGGGAGTGATTTAGGTAAGAAATATCAATTTTGGTAGGCATTTGGTTGGAAGTATCACAACCTTTTCTGAATTGAATCATGTTAATTTCTGGTAATTTCCCTAGTAATATAAAAGCTGCTATCTATAACTGTTATATGAACTTGTCAAGGTTGTCATCTAAAAATTTAGGCATTTAGGAGAAGGCATGGAAATGATTTTAATAACTTGTAAAAACACCGCTCATGAAAGCCCTCGAGGCTGAAAATGTTGATCAGGATTAAGGGCAGAAATTTCTTTGAGCAATATACATGGCATGTTAGTTACTAGGACATGTCCATCGATGGTATGGGTTGAGCTCATGAAACCACTAGATCTAAAAGTATGGGCTATTAAAACAAAGGCCTAAAAAAATGAAAATCAAATAACTTCTCATTAAGTCTCATGTTGGGCTTCTAGTTATAACAAAAATTCTCTGAATCATTTAGTAGAACTTCAGCCTTAGGCTTCTAATGCAAATCAAATTTTCAATTGGTAGATTATTTTTGCTGCTTATGTTGGCGTTGAATTTGCTGACTTAATTTGCATGGATGATTTCTTTGGAAGCCTAAACTGATATAACAGGCAGGTACTAGTATGTACTGCTTTGATGTTGTTGAACCACTGATAAAATACTGATAAAGTAAATCTCCATATTCACATACATATGGGTTAAACAAGTATGCAAGAGATGAAAGGAGTTGAAAATTTGGGATATTGTGCATATAACCTACTTTTTAACAATAGAAGATTCTGGATGATTAACATGTGAGGCTGTTTTCATCTTGTGCACATTGTACTGGAATAATTGCAAAATAAATTACATTTACCCATACTGCATAGTAAAATCTCATTTTACCTTCAGAAGTGAATAATATTATCTTAAGGTGTTGAAAATTGAAAAAGTGAAGTATTTTTATTTTCTAAAAATTATTTATGGGATAGATGCATACCGATGTATACTCAGGATCAAAATAGCCGAAGGTACCAAGTACTCTGGCAGTCACATGTGTCTCCTGTCCTTCTGGCATCAACTTGGCAAGCCCAAAATCAGATATCTGCAAAAACATTTTAATTTTAGCTCTGTTCATATGATTGTGAGAATGAAATGTTGAAGTCACCATAGGGAGTCTATTTGTACCTTTGCTTCAAAGTTGTCATCTAAGAGAATATTGGTCGATTTGAAATCCCTATGAACAATAGGAATTCCAACATCAGAACTTGAATGGAGATAAGCAAGCCCTTTTGCAGCTCCCAGTGCCACGTGGAGTCTTCGAGGCCAATCCATGTTTCTTTCCCCAATTCCTAAAATTAGATGTTAATTAATGGATGCTTGATGTTAGAAATTTTGCAAATGGTGTAGATTTTGGGTACATGACAAACCATTTAAATGATCTTGCAGGTTCCCATTTCGCAAATATTCATATACTAGGAATCTATGCTTTCCGTCAGCACAGTAGCCTATCAAAGAAACAAGATTTGGATGGTCAAGTCCGCTTAGGATGTCAACTTCAACTCGGAACTCACGTTCCCCCTCTGCTGCTTTAATTGCTGGCAACTCCATTTTCTTGATTGCTACAACCTTCAGAAGGAGACTTGTTATTTTAGTATGTATTCATCTGTATCAAATTCACTAATTTTGAGCATTTTATAAGAAACATGGTTTCTGTATGGAAGCTATAACTGACGATACAAAATCTTGTGCACTATGATGAATTCCTATGGGCTATAAAGTTCTGTCCAGAGTGTATTACCTCCCCTGACCGCAGTGTGCCTCGGTAGACTTTGCCAAATCCTCCTTTTCCTAGAAGATTCTTATCACTGAATGAACATGTTGCCTCTTCCATCTCCTTGAGTGTGAAAACAGATGATCCATGTAGCTTTTTTGTAGGTTGTGGCGTCTGATCTTCAAGTTGCCAAAGCTGCGCAGGTTTGTAAACCCCTGAACATAAAGTTTGTAAAGGTTACTAGTTGATTATGCAATAGAGGCAGTACTAGAGTACATGCTTAAACCATGAGAGAGAAACACAATACAGGGATCTGTGTGCTCTTGAGATTTGCTTCTCCGGCGCTTGTTCCAGGCTGAGACCAAACCAAATGGCATGATTGATTGCTCTATCTTATATGTTCTCTATTTAAGAAATGAAGTGTCAGGGTCTAACAAACAATATACAACTGCATATAAATGACCAATTGCTTCACACACAGATACAGGTGGTTTTGTCAAGATCCTTGAAGTAAACCACTCTTTATGATACGTTGAGCGGGTGGAGTAATCACTTTAGAATAGTTGGCATGTGCTCGAGAAAGCTATATTCCCATATAAAAAGCATTTTGATAGAATGAAAACCCTGTATGTATGGGGTACGTATGGATCAAGTGAAGCTAGATTGGAATAGTTGACACAACATCTTCCAACAACAGCAAACGGAGAGAGACAAAAATATGTACTTTAAGGCAAAGGGAGAGGTGATAATGGTTGGTATTGGTAACCTATGTATGGTTGAGATGTGATAGTGGGGTTGGGGCGTGCTTGCTTTGATAATGAAATCGAAACTGACGCCCCATTCACCAAGTTCATCATTTTACCGTTTGCATTTTGAAAATCAGTGGCGGTTGCAATGCCCTTTTCAGTTGTTCTCTTCATTGCAAAAATTGTTGTTACCTTGTTTCCAAATCTTTCTCTCATATGGTGCAACCGTCGTTGTTGCTATTAAAGCATCTCATAATCAGCATTTGAATAAGCTTTTCTTTAGCACCAGCAATGATCCATGACCATCCATGTGTGCCTGTCAGCTATTAGGAAAATAGAGTACTTTATTATTTTCAAGTAGGAAAAATAAAAATAAGTTATGCCATGGCTTTTTGCTATACAAATAATATGTGATCATTTGTCTATAAAGCCCACATAATTTTGCTTTTTGCTTTTTGACCTAGGGATTAATGAAATTGACAAGCTTGAATTTAAAATCGCATGTGTAAATAAAATAAAATATTACAACTCAATATATTTATCTATTATATACTATTATAAAAGAAAATTTTGTCACGTAGGAAAAAGCACGCACGTGACATGACCACGTTAGTTTTTTTTTTCTGTTGAAATGCTAACTAATTTTCATGTATTTGTTTTGAAGACAAAAAAAACCTAATATATTTAATTACATGATTTTATAATAATTAAGGTGTGTACAATTAAGTGTCAATTGTACGTCTGATTGATTGAATTCATCAATTAATATACTCAAACTTAATCTTTATTCTTTTATTTCCAAATAATTAAGACTGGTATATTTTCCAATTTATTCAAAAAATCAATATATTAAATCTTAAAAGATCTTGGTCTTATCATTTTGAATAAAAATTTATGACTTTTTACAATTAAAATGACGTTATGTCTATGAAACGATTTTAAATAATTCACCACAATTATTAGATTATTTGATTACTAAAGTAAAAGTATTCTAAATCAAAGCAAATATACCATAACTGTTAAATCAACACATACCTGACTTAGCGTCATAAATCATTTATTATCAAAATTTTGTTTAAAATTATTATCAGTCAAAAATATTCTATTTTTTTTAATTTTAAAGTTTAAAAGTATAATTAGTATTGTAAATAATTAGGGGTGCATATTCAGAATGCAATTTCAATTTCCACCACTTCACTAACATTGTGTCATATTTTTATACTATGTCTTCTAATTTTTCTCAAATTGAAAGAACAAAAGCGCAAGACAAACCAATGATAAAAAATCAGAATCAAGTTTCTTGGGCTTCAGATATTTTTGAACATCAATCAGCTGACCAAACCTTATTGAAATGCTCTTCATGGATGAGAGTATGCTTAAACAACCAATATTATAATATATTTTTTAACTATTAATTTTAGTTGTGATAATTTATATTAAATATTGTTTCTATTTATTACCACTAATTAATTAGTTTAGTTCCATCCTCAATTAGTTCAAAATTAGTTAGTTGGATTGTTAGACTCTCTAATTAATCCTATAAATAAAACTAAATCTCTCTCATTTTGTATCTTTTATCATTTGTAATCAATATAATGAGTTTTTCTGGTACTGTTTAATTGTTCTGAGTTCTATGGTGTGTGGCTACATAAAATGGGTGTAACATGGATGTCCTAATAAAAAAAAAAAGTTATATTGACTGTGTATGAAAATTATAACCATCTCAAAATACTCCAATAAAAGGTATATTTCTTTTCAAAAATAGTATTTTCTTTTTTGTCGTTTTTCTTTTAAATAATAAAAAGATAGAGAAAAAGAAATGGAGATATATAATGAAAAAGACAAGTAATTTATTTCCAAAAATCAAATGTGTCCTGTTTTATTTGCACTATCATCGTTAAAAGAAAAAGAAATTATCATCACTTCATAATCACAAATCAAATCACCTGATTATTCGGCCATATTTAAATCACGTAATAAATTGGTAAAATAGAATGGATTAAGCTTAATTAATAATTAGACTAGCCTATTTTGGTTATCTTCATGGTTTTTAAAATAATATATTGTGTAAGGTACATACATACATATATCCAATTTCACAACCTTAAAATTGATAGTTGGTCCCAATTTCACAACCCTAACTTTAATTATTGGTCCCAATTTTCCATTGAGGCTAGTAAATGGTAGATGATGCTAAGTTGGAGGTACCATCATAAAGTTGAAGTTATCCTAAATTTATACCTTTTTCTGGAATCAATGTTATTGTCTTCTCTCCATGTATAAATTCAACTTTTCTACAGCCAAGGTATTCAAAATATCCAATTCATTTTGTAGAAACGAATTGAAAATAATGAATAGATATATTATAATTATGAGTCAGATACCCCTAATTATATAATTATATTTCACTGAACAAAAATGAATGGATAAGATTAAAAATAGTCTCATGTTAACATTTGTTTTGCAATCCAATTATGTAGGAATTAACATTAATGCATGGACACTATCAAATCTTCAATATTATAAGAATTAGTTTAACAAGAAAGAAAAAAAACATTTATGTTTATCAAAGATATATTATTATTCATACGATTTTCACTTTTTAATAGTTAAAATTATTAAGGTCATTTAATAATCAATAAAAAAATAAAATTATTGTTTAAAAAAATAGTAGTGACAATATTTTTGTTGATAATTATTTTGTTTAGAATATAATAGTGGTAGAAAATTTTGACCGATATTTTTTATTATTATATTATTTCTGTAAATCGCTAGCGACTAAATTATTTTATTATTGTTTCTTCTTTTGAGTCACATTGGATATTAAACGTAATAATAGTTGTTTCTAAGTTAGTTTTTTACTAATAAAACGTACGGACCAACTAATTAGAGACCAAGATGTAATATTTTAACCTTATATATATATATATATATATATATATATATATATATATATATATATATATATATTCTTTTATAAACATGATTTTATGTTGTGATATTATTTGATTATATGTTATTATCAATTGATTTAATAATTATTTATGAAAATAAAATGAAAGATTAGTAAAATAAATTTAATAATACTATATTTTACTTAAAGTGTCTTTATAACAAGAATGAAAGAATATACTTTTGTTTCATTATATATTTCTCTTCATTTCTTTACTTTTACATACATTTATTAATTGGATTTTAAATCGTTTATTATTATCATAATCAAAATTATTGATTATTCTTTAAATTATTTTTTTTCTTATGTGTTATTTATTAGCGACTAAATATAAGGATTTTATTAAAAAAAAAATACTAAATTGATCGGTTCGTACATGAATAGTCTAAAAATTTTAAAATCCTACCGACTGTCTTAAATTTTTCTTAACCTAATTTTTTCCACTATTTATTAAATCCATTATAACCCTCTTAAACCCATCAATTAAATTTTTCGAAGCATGTGTCCAATTGAATTATATGATCGTGTCTGTATGTTTCAATGGTGGGCCTAGATTTTCCCTAATATTTTCTAGTATGTCTAACAGCAATAAATGATAGACCAGCACCCTTAAATTAAGACAAGTAATTTTTTTTTCTTTTTATGCATTTAAAAAAAATTGTAATTATTTACTATATTAAAAGATCAAAATAAATAAATAAAAAATAACAATAAAATCCAACAGAGATATTAAAACTGTATTATAAGTAATTTTAATGTAATTTAAATATCAATTTTGCTGTTATCTTAAATAACAGTATTTTCTAAGAAAAAAATGAGAACATATTGTACTCTTTTTTCAACGTCTTTATGCCAAAATTGAAAGATAATTACGATGATAGAGATTCAGAAACTATTGTGTTTTCTATAAGTGCCCCAGTGATCGGGTCGCGAAATTCATTGAGTGGTTATGACTTCACAAGAAGAGTTGGATGCTTCTGCATAATTAATTTGGTAGTTGAACTAGTAACTGATGAATTTACAACTATTGTCCTCGATCATGTTATTGTGTCTGCATAAAGTTATTATATATACCCGATGGTTATATCACATCCTCACACACCTCATAACAATCTATTTGATAGTAGCAGTTTGATAATTTATTCGTAGTTGATAAGCCATGGCTACCCGTGGAAAGCTTGAGGTGGAAATTGACCTCAAGAGTAGTGCAGACAAGATCTGGCAAACCATTAGGGACTCTACTGATATTTTCCCAAAGGCCTTTCCACATGATTACAAAAGAATTGACGTTCTTGAGGGTGATGGCAAAGCTGCTGGTTCTATCCGCCACATATCTTACGGTGAAGGTATAAACATTCTTCTTCCAAGAGATTTTTTTTGGTGGCTAGGGTTGTTTATTCCTTCTTCTTAAACTCTTGTATTCTTTTATAAGTTGTTTTGTAAAAACCTAACACCCTTTCTTCTTGGATAACCATGAAATAACAAAATGTGTTGTGTTGTGTGGTGGTCCAGGTTCAACACTTGTGAAAAATTCTGTGGAGAAGATAGTGGCTGCTGATGATGAAAAGAAGACAGTGTCATACGCTGTGATTGAAGGGGAACTCCTGGAACACTATAAAACGTTCAAGGGAGAGATATCTGTGACACCAGCTGGTGAAGGATGTGAGTTGAAATGGAGTGCAGTGTACGAAAAGGTTAGCCATGACATTTCTGATCCAACCCTGGTCAAAGATTTTGCAGTGAAGAACTTCCTAGAGGTGGATGCTTATGTTCAAGCAAAGGCATAGAGGTTCTATGGATGCCATGTAATGGCAAATTAATAGTTTAGTTTTTGCATGGACTATGGATTATTAAATAATATGGTTGTACGTACCATTCCCTATATATTTATGATGTTTGTTGTTGGATCAGAGTTGTGTTGTTCTCTGTGGTAGTTCTGATCCAGTGCTGTTAATTTGAAGTGTTATTCATTCTCTCATGTCAATGTTTATGCGGAAATTCATGACACCACCCACTTCTTTAATCATTTTCATCTGCCTTCTCAATTTCTTCTCACACTTGAACGGATTACTTGTATTATTATTTTATATTATAAAATTATATTATTAATTATTTCTTAAATTTATTATTTTTAAATATTAATAAATATAAAATATATAATTTAGAAAAATATATTTAATAAGTCAATTTTTATTAAATTAATATAAAATGATAGAAATTTCAACCACCATTCTTTTAAAACACATAATATAATATAAATTAACCATCCTCCAAAATGAATATCAAATAATGCTCATCATCTTCAATTTTTTATCTAAGTTCTTTTGGCATTAATTCATATGTATTTACTTTTATTATTTCATTATCTTTAATCATAACAAATTAAGACTTATGTTACCTTTTTTTTTACATCGTTTTAGTGTGGGTTATTTTTTTTTTATAAGATTTGTGTTATTACAAAAAGATAAAAAAATATAATTATTTAATTATCATAAATTTGATATTAAATAATAATAATAACAACAATATCTAAAATTATTAAGATTAATGTATAAATATTTAAAAAATAATAAAAAACAAATAATTATCTTATGGAATACTGAATTGATTGAAGATATTGAAAATATTAAAATAACTAAAAAGAAAGAAAAATACGAAGGAGTGAAGGATAAGAAAAAAAACTACTAAATGAATGATGAATGAAAGATGAGAAAAAAAAAGAGTACGAATATATTAGATTCTATATAATATGAGTAAAAAAAGAAAATTATTAAAGAGAAAATTAATATTATAAGTTTTAAATTTAAATATAAAATTAAGATTAAATCACGAGATTTATATTTATTTTGTTGGGTATCAAATTACTAAAATACGTTCTGATTTGTTAACATAATGGGGTTTATATAAATCTTTTGTAACTGATTGAGATAAATAAATATTCATGTGGATGGAGGTACTAACAACAATCAAGTTGGGATTTATTAATATCAACAAATTGAATTGACTAAACAAATTGAATTAACTAAATATATCTTATCCTAATATATCCTCTAAAAATCGAATTATGGTATAATCAGATCAAGTTAGGAACCTTGCAAACTCCTACTCAATTTTACAAATGCATTTAACTTTACTGATTTGGTCATTATGTCTGCCACTTTATCAAAGGAATTACAGCGTACCAATTTCACCTTGCATTGTTGTTGAGATTGCATAAGAAATGGAATGGGATGTCAATATACTTTCGCTTATGACAGCTAGGATTCTTTGACTGTTGATGGTGGAACTATTGTCAAGAAAAACACGTAACCATTGTACTGCTTGAACTCTCAGCTATAACATGTTCTGTTTCTTTTTCAGGTACCATTGTATCTTCTTCTAGCGTAATTTGCATAAAGATTAATTTTTTTTGTGCTTTTCTCCCAATTCCAACCTTATTCTTCTTAAAAAAATAAGTCTTTGCTGATTCCAATCTTCTAGATAATGGGATTGTACATGTGGTAGGCATTGGATTCTTCACTAATGTAAAAAATACACACTTCTAACTTTTAGGATCAAGTTTGATTCTTTTGGCTTCTAAAATATGACCGTGTCCAAGGCAACCAAAAATTCTAAAGTGATGATTAACAATTGATTTGATGTTGCTCCATTTCTCCTCATGTGTGACTCATTTAACAACAATAGTAAGACCTTACAAATGAAGCACATTAACTTAGTTTTTTTCTTATGAGTGGGGCAACAGTGACATTGAGTCAAACCATGAAGACAACAATGACACACTGAATCGAACAACAGAGGCAACAGTAATACCAAATCGAATCACAGAAGTAACAGTGACACCAAATTGAGTTACAAAGACAGCAGTGACACCAAATCAAACCGCGGATGCAACAATGACACCAAATTGAACCACAGAGGCAGTAATGACACCAAATCAAACCACAGAGATAATATAGGCATCAAATCAGATCATGGAGGCAGTAATGACATTGAATTGTACCGTGGAGGCAATAGTGAAATCGAATCAAGCCGCATAAGGCAACAACAATACTGAATTGATCCGTAGAGACAACAACACCAAATCAACCCGAGAAAAATAATGAAGAGGGATAACAAAAAGTGAATTAAGTTTTGAAAGCTTAAAGGAAGAGAAAAATATTAGGATTTGGGGACATAATAAGTGAGTGGGGATAACGTCGTATTTTATTATTTAACAATTATTTTAATTAAAAAATAAAATAAAATAAAATAATATAATAAAAATACTATCAATTAATATTAAAATAAAGTTATTAATATTAATTTCTAATTTTATATATAAATAGTATTAAATTTTATTTTTGAATTCTCCTAATTTTTTTTAAAATTCTCCTAAAAAAGAAAAAAATAGAACTTATTAATTTAATAATTAATACTTTAATATTTATTAATTAAATAAATATAAGATTCATATTTATTAACTTAAATTAAATAGTTAATATATTGATATTAATTAATTATATAAATATTGCATTAACATATTCGGGTGGATATTCATCCTTATTAATAATGTCTTACTATACTTGTTTGTGTTTTATTAAAAATAATAATAAAAGAAATTTGAAACAAGACTCCATGATTGAAAAAGAGTATAAATTAACACACATTCTAATTTTTTATTACTAAAGACACTAAAATAATAGGAATAATGAGATAATAAAAAGATTATCACATTCTTCTCTATATATTTGACCTACCTGTTATGCCCTATTTTGTAACAAAGGAACATTATGGCACGATGACTCCAAGTTCTCAACCCTTTTCTCAGTATTGTTCTCCTCTCTGGATTTTCCCCACAGTACAGCATAAAATCCAACCACGATTATGACAGCACCAATCAAACTGCAAAAAGTTCATTGAAAAAAAATGATCGTTAATGTCATACAAAACAAAATTTTAGTTTTGAGGTTTCTGCTATGTCGTGGTTTTTTAGTTTTGGAAATTTACCTTCCAAGGCCGAAACTGTCCCCGAGAAAGGTTGCACTCATGACAACTGTGAAGATGATTCCCACAGGCTTGAACATGGCACAAAACAGAGGTCCTGCTCTATGGACGCACCATGTGCATAGGATGTAACGTAGCATGGTCGCAACTATTGCCTATCATTCGCAAATCACCATTAAACTACACCAATCATGGTCCCCTCAAAATGTCAAATATTATTAATATTAATATATAATGTGTATTTTTTTTTTAACTTTTAGAAGAAAATATATAATTTTGGTCCCCTTATTTGTTGCTTTGCGCGCCTCTGATAATAGGACAAACACCACCAAAATGTCTCGTGTAATGTCTGTTATGTTTTTGTTTGGTTTGAAATTTTATTTTGTCACGATTCTTTTCAAACTTATTTCAAAAGAAACATGTATATACATTATTTTTTACTTCCACTGCTAAATGAAAAAGAGTTATAAACATACATCACAATAAAATCGATAGGACGGATTCGAAACGAATTAGCGAAAATATGCACTTCTGGAAGGTGGTATAAGAGCTGAAGAAGAACTATTACCTGGTATAAAATCACAATCAACCCTGTACCGAAGTTGAGCTCCCATTCAGTTGGATCTCTCACAGAAATCAAGGCAAATACTCCACACTGGATGGTTGAAAACAAGAATTGGAAGAATAATATCACTGTTACAGCAGGGTATTTCTTTGCTATCCACGCCTGAAATATTCAGTACCAGAAGCAAAACCAATTTAGCTTTACATATTCACTATTATTTTTAGTTCTTATATCCTAACTAATAATCCTCCTCTACGTGTGAGAAGGTGTGATAAAAAATTCTTCAGGTGTAAACAAATTCTACTGGGCGATTTACAACTCTTGATGATCATGTTAAAAGAGAGAAAACATATCAAGTCAGTTTGCTTTAAATATTTCAAATTGTTAATCGATAAAAAAAATTGATATAATTATATTTTTAATTTATATGAAATCACTTCATTTACGTCAATTTTAATTTATTTTTTTTAATATAGATGAATTCGAGAATATCTTGATATAAGAAGCAATGAACATAATTATCAATATAATTGAAGCAAAACTGAAAGGAGAAAGAAATTTTTTTCATGGAAGTCGCTCAAGTAAGATAGACTTTCACTTGAGCGAAAATCAGTTAAAACTTTTTGGAAGTCATTTGCTCAAACACCGTTATTTTCGCTTGAGCAAAAATTAGTTAAACTTATCTGCAACTCACTTGTTCAAGCGAGCATTTTTTCGCTTGAGCGAAAGATGCGAGACCCAAATTTTCCTATAAAAAGATAAGATGTGTTTTGAGAAATAAGACGATCTTGGGGGAGAAGAGACGTGACTACTGTTAGGGTTTCGTTCAATCTTCATCAATTCTTCACTTTTTCCTCGTTTGGAGCATTGTAATGACCATCATGAGTGACTAACTTCTTTCTCTTGGGATTTGATGCACTTCCTTTGAACTCTTTTGTATCATAGTGATATTTTGAGATATTAATCTATGTTTTGATGTTATTATGCTTATCTTTTGTGCTTTAAAATGATTTATTCTTGATGTTTAGAGTATGATTGAAAAATATATCTTAAACCCTAGATCACGATAAGAATATTTGTTATGTTAATGGCCAGAAATGGAATAAATGTATCAATTGCTTAACACTCTAAACCTAATACTGAAAAATCTCTTAATTGTGTGCAAAATCAACATTTATTAGATTTTCTTATGAATTTCATGTGTGAGAAATCAACATGGATGATTTGAGTAGGTGACATCAACATTGTTAGGTTAATTGATGTTCTTAATTAACATAAAAGAGGGACAAGGAAGGAAGTCAATCATAAGTGTCTTTAATTGATATTATCTAAACAATTTATAGTTCTTTATCGTTTAATTTCAATTCATCTCTTTATACAAAATCTATTTTGTTTTAATTCACGTAATAAGCATATAATTGAGAATTTCCATTAAACCCATTTATCGTAGTATCGACTTTTATTTAATCGAAATACTATACTGCGATTGATAAATTTGATACTATAAAATTTAGAAGTAAGAGACTTAATTAAATGAAATGGCAGGAAATGAATCTGAACAATAAAAAATAGGAGAATCAAGATAACACAAGAAGTGATTAACCCAACCTGATATATGTACCACGAAGAAGTAAAGAAAGAATCTGCAACGCAGCATATCCCTCCTAAGATCCAGTTTGCTTGTGCTGAAAATTGAAGTTTCATAGAGATTTTGGAGGCATGAGTCCTAAGGATGAGAGGACCCTTGTATAGTATCACAACAAATGCTCCACAAATTGATACTATCGTTCCTAACACTTTGGCTTGACTACTAGAATGCCTCCAATGTACTTTTTCCATCCTAAACAATTAAATTGAGCTGAGATAGTACTACTATACAATACTGCAAAAAAAAAAATATATTTAGAAAGGGTTTTACCATATTGTTTAACTGGAACATCAACTGTTACCTTTATGAAGAAAAATGTTTCGTTCTGGTATGGCTAAAAGTTTAAAGGCGACACTCCAATTTTTTCAAGAAACAAACATCCACAAAATCCTAATGTTTTTCTATGAGTTGTTAATTGTTTGGAAGTCTCAGTCAGCGCAGCAAAAAGAAAATGCAGAACCTGAAAATGAGAGCAAGCACAAAAGTGAAAGCTGGAACAAGGTTGAGTATTGCTGATGCAAGAGTAGGAGAGCTTAGTTCTATGCCAAAATAAGACGTTATCTGTGCTGAACTCCTGCATAGTAAGATAACCAAATCAGAGAAATTGTAGACTTCCAGAGCAGGGACGCATGAATGAATATAATCATAATAAAAAATTGGAAACAGGATATATATGCTAACAAACAGTATATTAAGCATAACATAATTTGATGGAGAACACAAAATATTGTAATTAACTGGAAAGTGCAGATGGAAGCATAGTAATAGATAGAAAAGTATTACTAACACAAAGATTGCAAGCAAAAAGAAGCTGCCAAGAGCAGAGAATGTGAGAGGAGGAACTTGTGACCTGCTTAATGAAAAGGGGTAAAGATAAGGAAGGTGGGGTGAGAATTACACAAAAATATTTGTGTTAATCTTTGAAACAAAGAAAGCATATGATAATATTTCGTCCCATGTAAGAAAAGGAGAACCTGTGGAGAAACAAGGCAAAGGGAAGAAGCAAGAAGGAGGAGAATGCCATAGAGTAGACAACCATGACATATTTGTTGACACCATCACTCATGGCAAATTTGATTACCACCATGCTGCCACTTTGAGTTAGCATAGCCACCGACATCCCCAGAAATGGCAGTAATTTGCCTGTACCTTGATTAACCCCTCTCACCATTTCTTTCCAACCTTCTCTCACACCACTCCCACCCTCTTTACCTCAAACTTTTTTCTAACTGCTTTTTATGTTGCTTTGTTGTTTCTCTCCATGTTTGGCTTGTATCCTGTTTCTAGCTCTTGGTTTTAGTTATTAGTCTATGTTACAACATAAAAAATAAAGGATATGAACAAAAATTAATAAACTTGATAATTATAATACTATTTTTTTAAAAATAAAATTAAAAAGTACTTTAGGAATAATAGAATAACATTTTTTTCAAACATCCTACTCCATAAACTTCACATATCCCATATGGTTGTTTGGGTATTGATATATCAACTCTATCTTTAGTCATTTTTTTATTAAAGCATGTCGGGACCACGACCAATAATTTGAAATATAGGTTGGTGGGATGGTTAGAAAACCGATCATGATTATATAATATAATATATTTTAATGAAATATACCTAATGCTTTGTATTATTGAATTTCTCTTAAACAAACATCGAAATATACCCAATTCTTTTTATATGTTATTGTTTGATTTAATTTTTCGTACATGCGTCATATAATTTTACAAATGATGCAGCAGGTACATGCCATTATGCAGAGGAGAAGATAATTGCAAATTTGTGACAGCATGATTTAACCCCTGAATCAACTTTTTTATTATGTGAAAGAATGATACTAAAATCGAATCAATAGATAGATGAAGATATTACTTTAATTATTTAATTGTGGTGGAATTGGTAAGAATTAAATAATATTATTTAATATATATATATAATGGATATATTGATATTAAAAAAGTAAAATATATAATTAATATTATTAAATAATTTATTATTTCATTAATATGTGATATGTTCAAATGAAATTCAAATTTAATTATTTTAATCAAGATCTTCTAGTTTTATAATGACAAAATAAAATAAAAAATATCAGTTATTTTTTTATGAGAAATACTTATTAAATATTTTAATAAAGATTAGTGATCGATAAAATAATAGATTTTTCATAATAAAATCATATGGTAAAGTAAAAAGAAAAATAAACTTTAATTAGTTGAGTTTTTTAAATAGTATTACTGCGCAACTTTTTTTTTTCAGTTTTTTTATTAAAAATAATCAAGTGTCTCAGTAGATGTTGGATTTTTTTTCTTAGGTTTGTCTTTCAACGAACATTTTAATATTTTTTATTAATTGACTATTATTTTTTTTAAGTTCATTCACTATGTATTTTTTTTATTATTGATGGACTTAATTAGATTTGATAAATAAGTAAAAAATGTTATTAAATATTAAAAATTATGAATAATTAAAAAATATTTATTGAACCTTTTTAAGTTTTTAATATTAATACGACTGCAATTATAATTAAAGTATGCTCCACAAGTTATATTATAAACTATTTTAATGTACATATTTACTAAAGATACGAGTTATTATTATTATTATTATATAAAAATTATTCATTTTGTTCATTTAAAAATTTTGTATATAATATTATATAATTTATAATATAAATATATAATAATTTTATTTTAATATTACATTAACATATATATATATATATATATATATATTACCGGCTCTGACCCTATTTATGGATAGATCTATTCTTCAATGATTTTTTCCTTTCATGTCTTTGTTTCTTTAATTTATACTAACTTTCTTTTCAATATTTAATCAATTATGTTTATTTATTAATTACCTTATTTGATTTATTTCTTCTCAAAATATAAAACTTCTTCAATAAGTGACTTGAGCAAATCTCTCTCACATGTACTTTTCAAGATTAAGATGACAATACACCAAATAAGTTGTTGTCCATTATTTGACACTAAATAATAGAATAATAAATTACTATTTTTAAATTGAATTAGATTATTATAAAAATAAAAAACATTAAATATTTAATATAATAAAAAAAAAATTTAAACACATGGATTGAAAATTATAAAAAAAGTTAAAATAAAAAGAGTCAAACAAAGTGATTGGAGTAAAATGAATGTGGGCCACTCATTTGCTAACTTTTTGGAAACTGTCACTTCCCAGTCCATGGAACGTGATCTAATAATGTGATAGTTTTGAAATATCTAGACACGACGGGTTTTATTGTTTTTTTTTAAAATTAATTTCTTTTATTATCTATTTAGTTAAAAACAAGTTATTTTAATGTGATTATTTTTTTATAAATATATTTTTTTTACATATCGATTCTACTTATCATAATTTGGTAGATTAAATAATTAAATATCTAAAAAAATAATTCATAATTTTAATGCGTTCTAACCATATACAATTGAATCAATTTTTGTATAAAATTAAATAAAATGTTTTAACTAAAATTTAAATGAATCAAATATTCATATACACTTGATTTAAAATATATTGTTTAGTTTGATTTATATTATACATTAAAATGGTAAGGCTTTTATAAATCAATTTACTTCTTAGGAAGATTTGAACTATTAATAGATTAAAAATATTTATTTAAGAACTATTAATAGATGTGATCTCATATGGTGCAAACAGATTATTTTGTGGTGCGTTATAAAGTTAAATTTTGATTAATGTTGCATATTTTTCAAGTTGGATTTTCTTTAAGATTTCAATAATCAAATGCGCTGCTACTTTTTCCTTACAAACTAAGTACCTAGAATTCCTTTTATTTCACTTACCTTGAGATATTCGGTGAATTTACTTTTTCTCCTTTTACATGTACTACTAGAACACAATGAAATGAAATTAACTTGAATGTAAATTATTTTTATTTTATTTTAAATTTGATTGAGAATTAGAATTGAGAACATAAAAAAATATAATAATTGAACTAAATGTAATAACAAAAATTTAATTAAAAAATTACAAGCAGTCAAATTTAATTTTAAACTAAACATATGATTACCCAAAACTTTATTTTTGCACATAAAACTGAAACACATTATTCTCCATGACCTACATGTTCCTATTTTGTAATAAAGGAACATTATGCCACGATGAGTCCATGTTCTGAGCCCCTTTAGCAATCTCATTCTCCTCTTTGGATTTTCCCCACAATACAGCATAAAATCCAACTACTATTATAACCGCACCAATCAAACTGCAAAAAAAAATCATTACAAAGGGATCAAATTTAACATCAACTGTATATACAAACTAATAAAATTTTACGGAACTAAAAATAATAATATTATAATATATTATTATAGGTAAATATAATTTTCACCGAATTGAATTAAATATCTCATGATATGAAAACTCTTAATAATATATTATAATCCTTATCATACTAAATCAACCAAATAAATGCTACACGAAATCCATTCTTTTTCTCTTGCTAAACATTGTTAATATTTTGCATGATTCTCCATGTAACTGTTAAGTGATTCTCTAATCTTTAGTATTAAAAGTTTACCTTCCAAGAGTGAAATCATCTGCAAGAAAGATTACACCCATGAAAACGGTGAAAATGATTCCCACAGGTTTGAACATAGCACAAAATAAAGGACCTGCTTTAAGGACGCACCACGTACACAGGAGGTAACGTATCATTGTTGCAACTATTGCCTATCCACAATCAGCATTTCATTATCATTTAGAATAAATTGATTTTTATAATAAATATTTTTCATAACAGCAATTATTTTATTAAGTGTCAATGACCTGTTACCTGATATAGAATGCCCATCAACCCTACATCGAAGTTGAGCTTCCATTCAGTTGAATCTCTCACAGCAATTAATGCAAATACTCCACACTGAATGGTTGAAAATAAGAGTTGGAAGAATACTATCACTGTTACAGCAGGGTATTTCTTTGATGCAGAAGCCTGGAAATTTCAGCACCAAAAAGAAAAAAGTAACACATCAACTGGTCTGATAGAACAACTTAAATTACTGTTCATAATATAGAATGTTTGTGAGGATAAAAATTTAATCAACCGACTAAAAGATAAAATAGGAAATGATGAAGCCAACCTGATATATGCACATGGAAGTAAATAAAGAATCGGCAACACAAAATATCCCTCCCAGTATCCAATTTAGCTGTGGCCAAAATTGAAGTATTTCGTTAGAAAAGTTGGATGAATATGTCGTAAAGATGAGTGGACCCTTGTACAGTATCACAATAAATGCTCCTGCAATCGATACTATTGTTCCTATTACTTTAGCTTGACTGCTAGAATACCTCCAATGTACTTCTTCCATCCTAAACCATCAAATTGAGATACTCGTTTACACTACTGCGAGTACAAGTTTGGCAGAAATTAAGAGCAAAACTAAAAGTTTGGCAGGTATTAAGCAAAGGTTCGATTAGATCTGAATTCAAATTCTATATGTGATTTTGTCACTACAAGAAATATAACTTTTAGTGACAAAATTTTAGTGACAAATATAAAATTTGTCATTATATATATTATTTGTAATAATTTTTTAATTTACCACAAATACTATTATATTAGTGACCAAATTAAAAATTGTCACTATAATTTTGTTAAAAGTAACAATAACAACATATTTGTCACAATATATATATTATTTGTAACAAATTTTTAATTTATCACAATTATACTAATGACTAAATTTAAAATTATCACTGTAATCTTATTAAAAGTAAAAATAATAATATATTTATCACAAATATTATTAACACATTAATGATTAAATTAAAAATTATTAGTATAATTCATATATATATATATATTAATTATTATTTTAAAATGATAATAAATTAAAAATTATTATTATAATCTCATTAAAAATATATAAAACGTATATCATAAATAATTAATTATAAAATAAATTATTTAAATAAATAAAGTAAAAATGCACCACAAGAAATTTTTCAATTAGTTAGGAAATTTTGCTACAAAATTTATTTTTAATTAATTTGTAGCTAATTAGCTATAGAATAGTAAAGGAATAAAATTGTAATTAATATATAGTAAAATAGATAAAAGATAATATTTTTGTAGTTATTCCTTTACTTAGTAGAAAAATAATTTAGTTAGAGAAAATTTTTGTTACTATTCCCTAGTTATAAATATTAACTATATTATTTTTTAAAGCTATTTCTTAGCTAAATTATATAATATACAATCATAGTTAAATTGTAGCAAATTTATAGTAAAAAAATAATTATAAAATTATTTAAAAATTATTTTTACCAAATTTATTATAAATATATTAATTATATATATAAATAAATTATTTGAAAATAATTCTAATTTTTTGAAAAAATATCTAAAAAAATTGATAAATATTTAAAATTATTTTTTGTAATTTTTTTATAAATTTAATTTTGTAAGAAGTATTTAATAATTTAAATTAATAGAAAATTTTATAAATAATTTTTTTAGAAATTAGTCTTTATAAAAAAAATTATTATATTAAAATATTTATTTAATTAAATATTATTTTAAATATAAACATCTTTAATATAATAATAAAAATATTTTTTAAAAATGATAAAAATTTTATAATTTTTTAATAAAAATATTAAATTAATCTTTTTTTTTCCCAAAATTCCCTTCCCCTACGTCTCCTTCTTTCACTTTCAACAGACCTAGATTGCAGTTGTTACCGCTGCCGCTGCTCCGTTGCCGTTGCTCCCGCTGTCACTGCTCCCGTTGCCACCGCTGTCGCCGCTCCCGCTGTCGCCGCTCCTGCTACCGCATTGATGTCGTGCCGTTGCCACTTCCCTACAGCGCCACTGTCGGTACATGTGTTTTATGAAATCTTATGTATTTTATGCAAACTTTAATTGTGTTTTGATTTGTTAGTGACTTTCTATGGTAAAAGAACAGTTAATCTTAGTAGTAGTTAGTTGTGCCTTCTTCCGATTCTATTTAGTAGTTTCCCACTTCTGAGTATTTTCCCTATTGTCCAGCGATTAGGTTTCATGTAACCTAGCAACAACGATAGGGTTTATTTGTTCCTTGGGTGTTTTTATTTGATTTGATTTACTATGTACCTCTCTTACGGTGGGTTACTCACTGTAATTATCATGGTTAATTAAATTTATTTAATCCAATTTAAATTTTCAATTACAATTCACGAGTAGAGGGGGTTTGCTTAGTGGAATTTCCTCTGAATCTTTTTGTTCTTGCTCGCGTACCTATAATTGAGAACCAGAGAACCAGAGGTAAGTCCTCGGGTCATATTAGTACTTATTGGCACATCGCATACTGTCATACTTATTGGCAATGGACTAGCAGATATGGGTTCCAAATCTGAGCTTGCCATCGATAAGTTATTTTCTGATTTGCAGATTAATGAGTTTATGCCAGATTTTGATGTTTATCTTCCAAATAGCCGGTTTACAAAGTCTTCCCCTGGTGATCCAAGTTTTCTACTATACTTATCTAGGTAATAACTACGTCTCTCATTGCATTAGTATGATTACTTTAGATTCTGAAATTTCATTGGTAAGTGATCTTTGTATCAGAGGAATTCACACTGGCAGACACGCTGCTTCATTGCATGGCAGTGTGTGATCGGGTTGGGGGGTTGTAAGGTGTGACCATGTTATTTCTCACAGTAAACACTAAAAATTGATAAAGGCATTGTGGTTGTCTGTTCTCTTATAATGAAAATAGGAAAATGCAATTTCATACGTACATATATCTGTTTTCTGTTAGATATACTTCAATACATCCATGAGAAGTTGATAGCCATTTGAGACTTGGATGAATAGTTCTAATTTTTGTGGGAACAAGTGTGAGCAAGTAGCCGTTGTAGGTATTTATCAATTATGGTTATTTATTTTTAAAAATTAACTTAAAATATTGACATTGATTATTTACCTCTTACTGATTCTCAAATTTAGAAGAAATAATATTCTACTTTATTGTATCAATTATGAGGTCATTAGACCTATCAATACATGAGCCTGCCGGTTATTTTAAGAAATATGGACTGCCAATTCTAAGGAGACAAATCCCTATGATTATGGGATTGTTTCTAAATACATAAACCTAGTATTAATTAGTAAAATTAGACTGTAATAAAGAATAGACTAGCGCAAGGAAAAAATACAAAACTTAATGACTAATATGGTTTTGACACAAATTAATAGCTATGAAAAATTGTCCTTAGTTCTAGTTTCTTTTCCGCCCTCTTTTTTATTATCTGTTATTGGAAATTTATTACTCATTTATAACATGTATCTTCTGTTAGGGGTCATCCACCATCTAAAGTAGAGATTGAATCTCTTGAGAAACAATGTGGTGGCATTCCTTTGAAAATCTGCCAGGTCACAGAGGGAAGGGTCAGTTTCTTTTCCTATGACAAGGTGGAACTTCCTGTTCTACCCTGAAAGTCTGGTATCAATCCTACGTTTCCAATCTGAGCTGGGGGCAAAGAAAACTTAAGAGAGAATGGGTTATTGTAAACTTGTAGCTTATAGGATTTGGTGATGTGCGAGAAAGATGCAGAATGGGCTCAGTGACACACAACCAATACTTGGCTCTAGCCAAACTGATCATGATTTTGATGTGGGAGCATGTTATTGTTGACCATAGCAAGAATATGAAGGCATTGGCTTAGTAATTCATGCCCCAGTTTACACATAGATTAGTATTGTGTAGGATAGATGATGTATTATCACTAGAGGATTTGTGACTAGAGTATCAAATAGGAAATTGTTTGTCATTCAATTTATTATTATAATTTTCATTTTAACTAACATAAAATCTTATCTGCTTTCTGTAGTGGTTTTAGAAGATTTGAAACCCATAGTCATTGATGTTGTGCTTTGGTTTGTCATGTAATTGGTAAACTATAGATGAATTCGATATGCGAAGGTGGTTGATATTTGCATTGTTGAGGGTTCATGATTCTGAATATATGGTTTCATTTGATGCATACATCAATATATTGGCTTTACCTGAAAGTTGATTACGATGTAATTCCGAAATTCGAATAACTTTTTCTGATTTTTTTTATATGATATTTTTGAATTAAAAGGTTTTATGTGGTATCAATACAATTTTAAAAATTAAGTTCTTGTATGTCGACCGCAACTAATTTGTGGATGCTTGAAATCATCTTCAAAAAGGTTGCATTATTGAAAGTTGTAGGAACATATTTCTAAAACCTCATTATAGAGAATGCATTAAACAATTGACTTAGTGTAGGATATGAGCACATAATTGCGTGTATTGATGTCATATAAAGATTTTGGATCCAAGGTTATTAACTCACGATACTGAGTTATCCACCAGTTTACGTATCATCAAAAGGATATAAAGTTTGTCTTCTTTTTTTAAGAATATGAGTAATAATTTAAATCTTAAATATTTGATATTATAAATTTTGATAAAAATTGTGAAGAATTAGTTATGAAATAGCGAGAAAAACATTGCAAAGGATTAGCTACGGATTAGCGAGGAAATAATTGCGAGACATTAATCACATATTAGCTAGAGATAAATTGTCAGGGATTAGCTACAGATTAGCGAGAGAAAAATTGTGAGGGATTAGCTATGGATTAGCGAGAGAAAAATTGCGAGGAATTAGTTACGTATTAGCGAGAGTAAAATTGCGACAAATTAGCGAGAGTGAAATTGCGAGGGATTAACTACGGATTAGCGAGAGCGAAATTGCGAGGGATTAGCTACGGATTAGCGAGAGCGAAATTGCGAGAGATTAGCTACGGATTAGCTACAAGTTTTGGGAGATCAAATTAGCTAGAGATAAACAAAATTTTACCATTTAAATTAGCGAGGGATTTAGCGACAGTTTAGCGACAAAATTTGCTACAAATTTGAGAGGGAATACATCTGTATCTAATTAGCTACTTGGATTTAGCTACGGACTATTCCATAGCTATTCCGTAGCTAATCTATAGCAAAACATACCAGCGAGAAATTAACTATAAAATAGCTACGGAATGTGTCATAGCTAATATGTAAAATTGTTGTAGTGATGTTTATGTTGTTATTTGAAACTTGACAATTATAAAACTTAAAACTAATTACCAATATCAAATATACATACCATGGTTTTGAGTTTAATTTAGTTTTATATATTTAATAAATCATATTATTTGTAATTCTTAAATTCAAAATTTATTTCAATAAATAAAAAACATATTTTACCTTATTTTTATATTTAATTAAATTAACAATTTTAACATTAAAATTGAAAAAGTTATTTAAATAATATAAAAAAAAACAACATTTTGGATTCAACTTTTAACCGTATTTTTAGGGACAAAATTAATTATTAATAATTTTATTCATTATTATTATTAAGTTAACTTATTTTTATTTCTAATGAATAAATAAGATGAAATATAATAATATTTTAAATTAATTGGAATTATTTGAATTTTGTATTTAATAAAAACATATTATTTAATTTGATCCAAATTATTTTTTATTTTTATTGAATTATGTTATTTTTAAATAATTCGTTAAGAGGTGCTACTAAAGGTTTTTTATTTTCAAAGAATAATTAAGTAAAAAAAATTAATGATGACTTTTTATATAATAATTTTTTATATTAGGTAAACTTAATTAGAATAGGAATATTTTTTTTCTAATAATCTATAAAGTAGATATATTCAATTGAAATATATTTTTTATTGACATATCTTATATCTCTATATTATTTTTTCATAATTTTTTTAATTCATTTTTTAAAGTATTGTCAATACTCATTCTTACTAATTAAATTAATTTAATTTTATATTTAACTTTTTATATTAAATATTTTTATATTATTTTTTAAATAAATAACAATAATTATTCACTTTTAAGATGATGTAAGTTATAACAATAACTTGTTATTTTCTACGAAAATTTCATACAACCTAATATTTTTTATCTTTCATGTTTTTTATATGATTTTTGTAAATAAAAAATTACATTATTATTATATTGATTAAAACTACGGGCCACACACTATATGATGTACTCATATTTCCAAATGGATTGAAACCATCACTTGCTAGGCCAAGTCTAATATTGCGTGAATCTGCTGCAAATGATGAATATCGTGAATCAAAACTCTTCCAAGCAATAGAGTCAGCTGGATGTCTCATTTTTCCATCTTCACCGAAAGGCTTTTATTTGTGCCATCTCATTTCTTTAGCAATATTGACGGATACATATAATTGTTGTAACCTTGGGGCTAAAGGAAAATAACGCATAATTTTTTGGGGTAACTTTTGATCTAGATCCTTATATCGAGGAAATTTACATGTTGGACAAGATGTTAATTTCAAATAATCACCTCGATAAAAAATGCAATCATTAATGCAAACATCAATTTTTATATAATCATGTCCAAGTTCACGAATAACTTTTTGAGCGTCAGAATAAGACCTAGGAACTTTATTCTCTTGTGGAAAAGCTTTTACTAATAAAGCAAGTAAGGCATCAATTGCTTTTGCACTCAAACCAAATAGACATTTGATATTTAATAATTGAACAATAAATGATAACTTTGAGAAATTTTCACAACCAGGATATAGTTCCTCCTCAACATCCTCTAATAATTTATAGAACTTTGACGCTTTTTCATTCATCTTCTTACTCTTTGGACTTGTATCACTTGCTTCTTTATTTTCTATGTTACCTTCAACATTAAAAGCACTTCCAAGATCATGTAACATATTATGAATCTCCTCATTATAATTTTGTTTATCACCATCTCTATGATGTTCCTTCACTACTTCTCCATGAAGATCCCATATAACATAATCTCTTCTTATCCCAATTGTGATTAAGTGCTCATATATGATTCTTTTAGTCCGAAATAGGTTATTGTTACATCTTTTGCACGAATAACTGAGTAACTGATCTTCATCAAACCCGGTAAATGCAAATTCAATAAATTCAAGAACTCCTTTTTCATACAAAGGTTGTGTCCTATCAAGCATATGCATCCAACTTTTATCTAACCCCATAACTAAAAATAAAAAAATATTTATTATTAATTTTTCAAAACTTAAATATATTGAAGAATCAATGAAAAACATAGAATCAAAACATGTAAAATTATGAATAAATAACTAAAAATACTAAATTATGTTACCTGCTATAGTAAACTTGTATCTCTTGATCTTCCCTCTTCGATTTCACACATTCTTCACAATTGATTATGTTCTTGTTTGAACCCTAAATTTTATATTTAAAAATAAAACTAGTTTTATAAATAATATTGTTTTAGTTTTTAAAATCATTAGTTGATATTTATGTTTAAAATCATGTTTAAAATTTTAAAATATTTAAATAATTATATAAAATAGATAATATTCTTATTTTAATCCATAAATTTTATATTTAAAACCAAAGTTAGTTTTATAAATAATTTTGTTTTAATTTTTAAAATCATTAGTTGATATTTACTTTTAAAATCATGTTTAAAATTTTAAAATATTTAAAGAATTATATAAAACAGATAATATTCTTACTTTAATCCATAAATTTTATATTTAAAAATAAAGTTAGTTTTATAAATAATTTTGTTTTATTTTTAAAATCATTATTTAATATCTACGTTTAAAATCATTACTTAATATCTACGTTTAAAATCATGTTTATAAAGATAAAGTTAGTCCGTGTTATACCTATTTTTTTAAAAATATTTGTTTAAAATTTGACAATTGTTTTATTTACGGAATTTTTTAGTTATCTTTTCTTATTATTTAATTAATTTAAATCACATCAAAATCTTAATTAATAAATTACAAAAATATTTTTTATATTAAATAGAAAGTATTTTAAATAATGAAATAAGAACATTAAGAAAATCTTAATTAAAAAAATATCATTATTTATTAAAAATTATATTATGATATTTTATTTAAAATTCTCTTGCAATTTCTTTAAAATATAATATTTTATTTATTTATAATAAATATTATGATAATGGAAGGTTGTGGTTTCCAACGTAACGTTTATCTTCTCTCCCACTAGTTGATAACTCGTTCACATGATGAAATTTGAGCGCTCACATTTTCAGCTCCAGGAATTATTCCTTCTCTCGCACAAAACGTAGAGTAAATCTCCACTCGTAAACCTCTGCAATCAAGTTTCAGTTTAAATCTTCATTGGCAATGAGAATCTCACCATCTCGATAACGTAAACTCACATCACAATACGTTCCGCAACCCTTCTCACAGCTCCAACCCCCGGTAACGTTTCACAACAACCGGTAATATTTGTTTTTTATCTTAGGTTATCATTGTTTATTTAACATTAGTATTACTCTGTATTTTTGATAATTTTGTTTACGTAGAGTGAACCATGTCCAAATACGAAGAACAGAGATTACAAAATATCAAAGAAAACAAAGCAAAGTTAGAGGCTTTGGGATTGACACATAATTTTTATCCTTTGAAAGTCGACGAACTCAAAATATACAAAAAAAGAAGGATAAAGAAAAGCTTGAAGATGATGATGTAGAATATAAACCAAAAAAGGTCCAAGCTTCAGAAGAAGATGAAAGGGATGATGAAGCAAATGTAAGTACTATTTCTCTTTTTCTTACGTATTTGATTAGTATTTTTGTAATATCTTGTTATTATTTTAATCATTAACTATTTTGTTTTATAGATAATAAGACCAATCAAATTAAATTCTAAAAGGGTGACCTTAGAGTTCAATCATCCTAATCTTGAAGGAGCTACGGTACTTGTATAACATCTTTTCTAAAATTTTGGATTATTTATTAAAGTTGTACTAATTTGTTTTTAATAATTTATTTTAGACAAACATGTTTTAAGGAGACGTGGACATACCATAAATGCAAATCTTCAAAAGAAGAGGGCAAAACTAACGTGAATTGCAATCTCAACTTGAAGTTCAACAGGTTACTATGAAGCAAAATATTGAAAAAGAGATGAAGCGTCAAATGTCTATTTTATTAGGTGGTTTATCATTCACGTAAATATCTAATGATTCAACTTGTTCCCTCAAATGAAGTAAGTTGTTTGACTATTTTAATTTTTTCACTAAAATATCTCCAAATTTTTAGTTTACATATTTATATATCTAAAATATTGTTAATTATTTTTTATTAATACTAATTATTTTTTATTTCATATTACAGGATCAAATTCGTTGAAGATAATTCAAGTTGTTATTATTATTTTTTTATTTTAGAAATAGTTATTTAATTGTAACATGATCTGGACTAAAAATATATACAGTTGTTTATCATCTTTGAATTTAGAATCTTGTTAAATATTTATTGTGTTTTAATTTTTATCATTTATAATGTAATGGATAATTTATGTTTACATATTTGTTTTTATTTATTCATTATAACTAAGCAAACTTAGAAGACTTGTATATTATTTATATTTAATAATTTAATGATTAAATAATAATTTTAAAAATTAATAATAAAATTAAAAATTAATAATAACAGCAAATATTAATATTAAAATTATTCTTATTATTGTTAGTATAAAAAAATATAAATAATAATAATAATTATTTTAGAAATTATAATAATGATAAATAATTACTATTATTTATTTGGGACATTAAATTAATAATAATTATTTCTATAAATTATAAATAATAATTAATTTATTATTGTATTTTTAAAATATTTGCGATATTGAAATAATTATTTTTTTTATAAATTTTTTATAGTGATAACTTTATTTATCACTATTGTGTATTATATTTGTGACAATTTATTATTATTATTACTATTATATATAATTATTAGTGTTAAATATTTTTTTACTATAAAGCTTAATTTTAGTAATATTTAAAAATATTGTTACAATTATATTAGTGACAGATATTAATAGTGATGAATTTATAACTTTTAGTGATAAATATTTAAATCACTATAATTAATTTTTTTGTAGTGTGTTGTAGTATGATTTATCAGATCACTTATAAATATTTGTAAAATTATAATACATTGATTTCTGTAAAATTCAGTTAAGTCCCAACATTTTAAGAATATTGGAAGGGAATTAATGATGACATAAAAGTTGGACTTATATGCAGAAAAAGATTTGCTCCTTACTGGTTTCGTTAAAGGTTGGTTAAAAACTACAAATTCTTGAAGAAACAAGCATCCTAAGGTCCTACCTAATGTTCGCAATTTGAGTAGCACAAAGTCACAATCAGTATAGCAAAATAAGTAACCTAAAAATGAGAGCAAGAATAAAAGTGAAAGCTGGAACGACGTTAAGAATGGCTGATGCAAGTGTCGGCGAGCTCAGTTCTATGCCAACATAAGCCATTATAGTTCCTGAACTCCTGCACGGTAAAATACTAAATCAGAAATTCCACATTTCTGAGATGAAAGAACACATGAATGAATATATGCAAAAAAGAAGTTGGAAATAGAATCTCACCAAAACAATTGCATTATAAATGGTGAGCAATAAAAGTATCTTAATTAAGAAAAAAAATGAAGGAAAAATCAAATATTATAATTAACTAGCAAGTGCAAGTAGAAGCATGATAGTGGCAAGTTAGAAAAGTTATACTAACCCAAAGATTGCAAGCAAAAAGAAACTGCATAGTGCAGAGAATGTGAGAGGAGGACGTTCAGATCTGCTTAATGAGAAGGGGTAGAGATACAGGGAAGGTGGTGTAAGAATTATACAAAATTATTTGTGTTAATCTTTGAAACAAAGAAAGCATATGGCATATTCCCTTCCATGTAAGAAAAGGAGAACCTGTGGAGAAACAAGGCAAAGGGAAGAAGCAAGATGGTGGAGAGTGCCATGGAGTAGACAACCATGACATATTTGTTGATCTCATCATTCATGGCAAATTTGATTACCACCATGCTCCCACTTTGAGTTAGCATAGCCACCAACATCCCCAAAAATGGCAGTAATTTGCCTGTACCATGATTCACCCCTCTCACCATATCTTTCCAACCTTCTCCCTCAGCCACTCCCTTCTCTATGTCGTATCTTCTCTCTTATTATCACATACTTAGCTTTATATAACACCATTTTTAAAAATATCTTCTATAATAAGAACAGTATAAAAGATAAAGTTTCAAAATATATAAATCAAATATATAATTACGGTATTTTCATCATCAAATTAGGGTAACGTAGACACGTGCTCTTCATTCCTTTCGAAAAAGCATATTTATATACTGTCTGATTTTGCTATCTATCTCAGAAAAACTATGCGGTTGACGGTGATGTGCATTGAACGAAAAGACTAACGCAGGTTTTGTTGTTTATGAAAGCGACAAGTAATTGATAACTTAGATGGATGAATATTATCGGTTTTTTTTTTTCACTGAAATGATTAATTTTTTTAATTTATTTGTATAAGTAAATTTTTAAAAAATTATAAATTTTTATAACTCGTCTTAAGAACTACGATGATATTATTAATAAAATAAATGATAATTAAATTTTATTATTATTTTTATTATTAAAACTAACAGTTATTATATTATTGGTTATATTAATAAAATATAATTGTGTTATTGTATTATTTTATTATTAAAATAATATGATTATAATTTGTAATATTATTATTGTATTATTGATTATATTAACAATATAAATATTTTTACTATTATTTATTTTATTATTACTTATCATAATTAAATTATATAATAATAAATTATTATTATTATTATTATTATTTATAATAATAAAATAATACAAATTATTGATAGTAATATTAATTATTATTAGTTAATAATTTAAATAATAAGATTATTATTTTTAATAATTATATTAATAAATATAAATATATTTATCATTATTTATTTATTTTTAATTATAATTAAAATAATATGAATAAAAAAACTGGTACAAGATGTTTCTAAAGATCAATCTTGAGATTTTAGAAATAAGTTTGGATATTCAGATATTTAATTGATTCCGTAAATTTAAAATATAGGTTTTGGTTTGGTCATATATTTTGTATTTTTTTTCTTTCTTTATTTTATATAGTTGTATAGGAAACTTGATGTGGGTATGTGGATCTGGTTGGGATATAACTTACACTAAATTATCATATATAATTTTATTAAAAAATATAAATATATAAATAAAAAAAATAATTAAATATATTAAATTATTATTATAAATTGTAATAATATTAAATTATTTTTTATAAAATATTTATAATAATTACTAAGATATAATAATTAAATTAGTATAATTTCTATTATTTTATTATTATAAATAATAATAAATTTTTTTATTATAGAAATTAAGTATTATTATTATTATTATAATTAATAATAAAATAAATAATAATAAAAATATTTATATTATTAATATAATCAATAATATATTAATAAATATTATTATAATTATATTATTTTTTATTAATATTTTTATTATTTTAAGTATTAATAATAAAAGAATATAATAATTATTAATTTTATTAATAATATAATATAATTTTATTATCATTATTATTTATTTTATTAATAATACAAAAAATATTGTTATTAATTATAATAATTATTATAATATAATAATAAAACTCATATATATAGAAGTTCTTCGTAAATAAATAAAAAAATTGAATTCGTGAAACCCGATTTCTTCATTCTCAATGTTTTATAATACGACTTTCTTAAATTCATAATTTTTTAAAATTTATTAATTGATAATTTAAAAAAAAATCACCTTTTTGATAAACAAAAACCAATATTATCCATGCTTATACAATTATTACTATGCAATAAAATAATCTAATACTTCCTGGTTGAATAATGCTTTCTAGTTATTGCTATTTATTGATTATTAATAACACTATATATAGTTGGCTTTTACTATCTTAATAATAATTTTACACATTAGATTATAAAATGAAATATAGATTTAAAATTGCGTGGGGGTTCAGTTCTTTTTGAACTGCATGTTACAGAACAAATGGCTAAACTACTGTAAAATACCTAAAAATTACCATCAACGTTAAATAAAATTTAGAGGAATAAATATTTATATTCTTTCTTTTTCTTTTTTTCTTTTCTCTCTAATGATGATCACACAAGTATCATAATGTAACTTAAAAAAAAATATAAATTAAATAATATTATAATAATTTTTAGTTATATTTGTAAAATTCTTTTATTATTTATTGTTCGCATGTCCCCCGTTTTGATATGATGATGTTCCGCTTAATGGTAGGTCCCAGGTATAAAATTATTGATGACTTTTTAATCTCAACTAGTTGAAGTTGTGGCATGGTCACATTAGCATATTAGATGAGAGTGGGGGAGACAGTTACCAAAGAGGGTTCCTTTTTCTCAGAAGCATTTGTTGTGAGGTCACTTGGATGGCTTCTTCAAACATTTATAGTCTTCTTCCTAACAGAGATTGCATGGGTTCTTCAATGTATCGCTCAGTGACTCTTTCAAATACTTGACGTGTGTTTTGTTACGTTATGATGGTTAGTATTTTAAGTAATCTTGACTTTGATTCAAAACATAACACTATTTTTGACAATGAAGTTGAAATTTATGATTTCTTTAGTGTAAAAGTATTCATGTTTCTCTAGTGCTAGTAACTATGAATTATCCTCTTACAAGTTCTAATCCAAACGTATTATAAAAGTTTGTTTTCTTCTCCACTTTCGTACGGTTCTTGCAGTTGGATCTTGAAACCTCAAGCAGAGTGTTCTTGATGTGTTTGCTTTTAATCCGAACTTCTCGTGGAACGGTAAAAATGACGAATGCGCAAGGCTGGACTGGAATACATAGACTACCAATGGATTATTGGAGGCCAAGAGTACTCTTTTCCATCGCTGGAGGTGTTGGCACTCCCTTGTCTTAAGATGATTGCACCATGAGGAAAATGCATGCCTCGTATGGTAGGGTACCGGTGGAACGAAATCTTCCTGATCGGATTTTAGTACAGCGTGAAAGATTTGCCCTCTTTGTGGGGATTGAGTAACCTGAATTCTGTGAATCTTGCAAAATGATGGGATACTCTCAATCTAATAGTCGCAAGTCTACAAAACTGTACACCGTCTTAATGATTTGAGTCGTAAGGAACAGGAAATTTTGTCTAACTCTGTAGATTTTATTTATTTACAATTTTTTTAGTTGAGAATTCGATTTTCTAATATAAAAAATTCGTAGTTGTATGTTTTTTTTTAAAACCATTTAAAAATCGGATTATCGAAATCCGTGATTGTATGTTTTTTTAAACCATTTAGAATTCGGACAACCGAATTCTTGAATTGATTTTTTTTTTAATTTTTGTTTATTTTTATAAAAAAAACTAAGTAAAACATATATATATATATATATATATATATAATATTATAATGTTTTATTTATAATTTATAGTTTAAAAAAAATTATATATTTATTAGATTAATAATACATTTAAATTTATTGTTGAAAATAATAAAATAATATTTTTAAAATATATTATTAAATATAATATTTATATTTTATTTGTATGATTACATTTTTTTAATTCTTTGATTTATTTGATATTGTAATATTTTTTTTCAGAAATTAATAATAAATTATGAGGATAATAAAAATCTTAAAAATTATATGTATATAAGAAATAATATTTTTATGTAAAATTATATTTTTGAAATGTATTTTTTGTGTGTTTTGTAATATTTTGGAAGATATATATATATATATATATATATATATATATATATATATATATATTAGAAATGAAAATAAGTTATATATAGGAAAAATAATGTATTAATATTTTTGAAATCTTTTTTACATTAAATAATTTTTTTAAATTATAGTTTTAAAATAGTTATATGTTTATTAGATTAATTGTAATATGTTTTAAATTATAATTTTAAAAAAGTTGTACGTTTAAGAAATAAAAAATATATAAGGGTAATGTAATTTACTAATATGAATTTAAATTCTTGTAAGAATTTAAGAATTGATGTTATACAATAGGATATGAGAACATTGATAAAGAATTGAACAATGTAAAATTATAACTGAATAGGAAATATATTTATTGAATGAAAGTCATTGCACCTAAGATAGTTTACATTTCACCCTCTCTTATATATTGAATCCAAAGGTTAAGTTGTTCCCTTAATTCATATACATGTGGTAAACGTGTATATCTTGTTTCAATGAACAGTTCGATGTTCTGCCACGTGTGCGGACGATACACAGAAAAGTCCATACTTTGAACTTTTTTTAAGTGGTTGATCATTTGTGCAATATCATTATCTAATTTGATTTCAACCATGTCATGTATAAGTATGTTATTAACTACCCTGACGGGATGAAGGTAGTCAATTTTTGATACTATGGAACAGTTCTCACAACGTATTCTCTGGGTTATTTTTTGTACAAGCTCATCAAAGGTGAAATTGTGGGGGATTGACATGGTTAGAGTAGCGTCTGATCTGAAACATAGCCCGTAACCATATGGACTATCTTTGATGGCTGCCCATTTGAAAAGTCCTTCATAGTATAGTTTTGCTGGTGAACATGGGAAAGGGTTTGGGTTTGTGGAAGAGGAAGATTGATATGGTTGTAGAAGACCAAGTATTTCCTCAGTCGACCTTGTGAAGGTAACAAATAATTCCATATTGTGATAATGGGATGAATTAGACTTACAATTAATCATTTTTGCAATGTCAGCATCTGTTGATATTTGAGGAGCATCATACACAATGGCTCCTTCTTCATTGCATGTGGGTCTTTGGAAGTAGAGCTTGTTAATGGTTGTGGTGGGTGGAAGTTCTAGAGTTGATGACACTTTCTGGTTCAAAAGGTTGAATGTGTAGTTGTAAGGAATGCGAAAGAGCTTTGGACTTTCACATTAGAACTGCACACCATCATTAGATTGAATGATTTCTTCGTTTGAAAACAAGACTGCAAGATAGGAATTTAAATAGTTTTCTTGGACGTTGATGCTAAAGTTCTCCATTTGAGAGAAATGGATGTGTTTATTTGTGCAGGGTGGTGGTTGTAGTGGGTGGGTTTATTATGAAATAGAAAAGTAGGGTAGGTTGAATCTAGAGTATTGGTATTTATAGGGAAAGTAAATTTGGGTGTTGGTATGGATTGAAATTAGGAGGACTCCATCCATCAACTTTAAGTGTAGTACAAGTTCATATCTTCCTAGGCATGCTTACCAAATAGAGGTGATAGGTCTTGTTAGTGGCAGGGTACATGTCAGGGCATTGACTGAGAGAGTGAATGAGTCAATGCATGCTAATAGTCATAAGCTTTTGTAGTAGGAATAGTTCATATCTCCCTCATAGGCACACTTACCAAATAAAGTTGATATGTCTTGTCTTAGTGGCATGGTGCATGTGAAGGCATTGATTGAGAGAGTAAATGAGTCAATGCATAATAATAGTCATCAGCTTTTGTAGTAGGAATAATTCATATCTCCCTTGTCACGACTACCCAATAAAGTTGATAGGTATTGTCTTAGTGGCTTGGTGCATGTCAGAGCATTGATTGAGAGAGTGAATGAGTCAATGCATAGTAATAGTTTATTGAATGTGTAAGTTATTAAGATAATAATGTAATTGAATGTATAAGTTATTAAGATAATAATTTATTGTATTTGTAAGTTATTAAGATATGAATTTTTTGAATTTGTAGGTTTTTTATTCATCATTTGCAAAGTTTATATTACAAACCCAACATAAGGTAGCTAAATAACAATAGTTCAAACACTAAAACTAAATGTTTGTTATTTAATCCCCATAATGGTGTCTAGTTCCACATCGGGGTCACCTTCTATTCCTAGTTGGGTTCCTCCTTCCTTGGGGTGGTCTAGGTGTTTCTTCCTCTGAAGGTTGGGCTTCATGATGCTCTGCATCTTCATGACCTTGATATGCATCGGAGGATGACACTGTTTCATTATGATATTGGACATTATAAGGGGATTGTTGATAAGGTCCTTCAAAACCCTGTGCCGAAGGTGGAGTTGGGGCATACACTCCAAAAATGCTTGGCATTCCTAAATCAGAGAAGGAAGAAATTGAATGTCTTTTTGCATCCATAGTTCCTTCTGCTTCTTGAGTGTTGTAATCGTGCTCAATGTCATCATATTGAGGAGGTTGTGCATATGTTGAAGTCGATACTCGATGCATCCTCGGGTCATGTAACATTTGTAGAATGGACAAAAACAAAAATGAGTTTGTCACAAACCACGACATATACTCACTACTGTGGAAAAGTGGCCCTAAAAGTGGTAATCCAGTCAATGTTAGATTATGCCTGTTCTTCCATACGTCTATCCATTCCGCATGTCTAGTAGCCCAATTCTTATCTTGTCTCCCCCTCATGTCTACTTTATGTAGATCATCAAGGTTGTTGGGTGAGTCATGAACATCTTGTACCAAATGAAATTGTAACTTAATCTTGTCTGACTGGTGCCATTCAACAATTGAAAAACAAAGTAAACTTGTGCAAGAGGTCCACAATGATTGGTCATTGTATGCTTCGACAGGAATGATTGACTCCAATCCCTCATACGGAACCCATATAAACTATGTCACCAATATTAAAGTGAGAAAATCAGAATCTTATTCCTCCTCAAATGGCACCAAAGATGTTTGCATGCATCTATGATAATGGTGACATGATTCCTAACCCAGAAAATGGTGTTTTGTTTAAGTCTGACACCTGTATCATGGTTCAGCTTCATAGAAGTTTTACATTTTCGCAATTAATAGAGATAATATTGCAATGGGCGAAGACAGATCCAACCAATCCACCTCCAGTCCTCCATTTCAGATTTCCAACACAAATTTGTGGTAGACATGTGACTTACACAACAACAAAGATTGAAGATGACGATGACTTGGATGGAGTCATGGACATCACAAAGGCCAACCCAACTTTGAGATCCTTGGAAATTTGCACGACTTACAACACATGTATTTCATATTCCTAACCCAATTATTTTAATTATTCACATGAACATCAGCAACTCTTACAAACTCAACCCACACATCAGTCATTTACCTTAACGCCACATATATAGGGGAATGGGAAAATAATATACAATCATACACTCAACTCTTGACCGGTCCATCGACCTCACAACTTCTCCCATCTCTTACATATGTTGACACATAACAGTTCTCCTCTCCTCCTCTATAAGAAAACGAAACATTAGACATACATTTGTCGTCATTAGACCCATTTAGTGAGGATGAGAATGACATCCTTAGCCAGCATGCAGATGATGAAGAAGAAAACTTAGATATCCCTCCTATACAACAATCTCATTTATCTCTTCAATACAACCTGCCCCGACACTTCCAGTCATATGAAGAATTTTCCCAACATGTAGACCAATAATATCCTCATGCATACAACCACTTTAATATTCAACATGACACATTCGAGCATGAACCTAGTACATTAACCCAGGGATTGAGGTTTCAAACAAAGGAACAAGTCATAGATGTTTTAAACACATTTCATATCACAAACCATTGCACATACAAAATGACACACTCCAACACAACAAGGTTAAGGGTGTAATGTGTCCACCATCAATGTCTGTGGAAGTGTCAAGTCATCCTTCGAACAAGAGATCAAGTATGGGAAATAAGAAAAATCGAAGGGTCTCACACCCTTGTCATACAACTCATTACACAAGATCATAACAGGTTGGAGTCACATATCATTTCCCAACATATTCGTGAGATGGTCGAATCTGACCCATCAACAACAATTGCAATAATCATTGCTTCCATCAAGACCTCACTGGGCTACACAACAACGTATAGAAAGGCTTGGTTGGCTAAATAACAAGCAATTGAACATGTGTATGGAAATTGGGAAGAATCATTTAACAAATTACCACGGGTACTACAAGCAATGCAAACATTTCTTCCTAGTTTGTATACCAACTCAAAACTCAGGTCATAACTGATGAGGAGGAGGTCCTGCAAAACAAAAAATATTTCAAAAGAGTATTTTGGACCTTCAAACCATGTGTTAATAGATTTCCCTATTGCAAATTGTTAGTGCAAGTGGATGGAACCTTTCTCTAGGGAGATATAGGGACACTCTTCTAGTGGTTGTAGCACAAGATGGGAGGAATAACATACTCCCTATTGGTTTTATTATTGTAGGAGGTGAAATGACAGAAGCTTGGTTTTTTTCCTTAAAAACCTTAGGAGGCATGTTACACCTCAAGAAAACTTGTGCTTAATTTCGGATCACCATAACTCCATCAGTGCATCATTCAATAGACCAAAAAGTGGATGGACTCAAGGAAATTGTGTGCACGTGTTTTGCATTTGATACATTGCACAAAATTTCACTCGAAGATTCAAAAATAGAACTATGAAGAAGGACCATGTGAACATGGGTAAGTACTTAAAATTCCAAAATTTTATTCAATTATGTGTGATCTTCCATTGTTCTTCGTTATATTTAATGAGTATTACTTTATAATTATATTTGCAGCATATGCAATGACTAAGTCAAGATATAACTATTACTACAATATCATAAGGAAAGAGAACCCGGAAGCAACAACTTGGATTGACCAAATTCCAAGACATCAATGGGCACTTGCGTATAATGAAGGTAGAAGATGAGGTCACCTCACAACTAATCTGACCGAAGCTATCAACTCAGTCTTGAAGAAAATAAGAAATCTACCAATCTCCCCCATAGTATTGGCCACATATACCAGATGCAACACCTTCTTCACAGAAAGAGTGAAGCACATGACTGCAATGATAAGTGTTGGTCATGTCTATTCTAAAAATGCCACCAAGGTCCTAAAAGATGGTGATTCAAAATCAAATACCCATAGGGTGGTTGAATTTGATAGAAATATGACAAGATTCAGGGTGGAGGAAATTGTCAACCCAAGAGAAATACGTCCTCTAGGTACTTTGAATTGTTATTTAACCACTTAAATTATGTTGATTCTAATATATTTTTCTCCTAATGTAGGATGATTTTACATAGTACCTAGTACAAGAGTAAGGATCATAATTCTCAAGTTAATTGAAGAAAAATTGGAAAAAAGAAAGAAGATTTTCAGCCTAAGATTCGCTCAAGCGGGATAGACGCTCGCTTGAGCGAAAATAAGTTAAACATTTCTGGAAGTCACTCGCTCAAGTGAGAAAATTCTCGCTTGAGCGAAAATCATTAATATTCACTTGAGCAAAAGTATCCGCTTGAGCGAATGACGTGAGACCCAATTCTATAAATAGATAAAATGCGTTTTGAGATGGAATATTAGGTTTTTGGAGAAGAGGCGCGATGACTGTTCTGTTCTTCATCAATTCTTTAATTCTTCTTCATTGGATCATTGTAATGACCATCATGAGTGACTAATTTCATTCTCTTAGGATTAGGTATACTTCCTTTGAACTCTTTTGTATCTTGGTGATATTTTGCGATATTAATCTATGTTTTTAATGTTGTTATTCTTATCTTTTGTGCCTTGGAATGATTTATTATTGATATTTGGGATATGATTGAAAATATATCTTGAAACCCTATATCAGGCAAGAATATTTGCTACACTAATTACCAGGAATGGAATGAATGTATCAAGTGCTTAACACCTTAAACCTAATGCTAGGAAATCTGTTAATTGTGTGAGGAATCGACGTTTATCAGGTTTTCTTATGAATTTCACATGCGAGGGATCAAAGTGAATGATTTGAGTAGGTGACATCAACATTGATAGGTTAATTAATGTTCTTAATTTGACTTAGCCATTATACAAAAGAGGAAAAAAGGAATTAAACCAATCCTAAGTTCTTTTATTTGATAATTTCTAAAAATATTTTACAGTTCTTTGTCATTTATTTTCAACCCAAATCTTTATGAAAAATCTAATTTGCTTTAATCCACTTAGTAAGCATATGATTTGGAATTTCTAGTGAAACCGTTCCTCGTGGGATCGACTTTTATTTAATCGAAATACTATACTACAATTGATAATTTTGGTACGCTTGTCAATTATTCAATAGTGTGATTGTGGGAAGTTTCAAAAAATTCATATACCGTGTTCTCATGTGTTAGCAACTTGCAAACATGCACATCATGACTTCAATATGTACATTAGTCCCCACTATAGGTTGGATGTCGTCATGAAAGTGTATGACCATATGTTTGAGGAGTTAAGACATGAACAATATTGACCATCATATGAAGACCCACAAGTTTCGTCAAATCCAACCAAGAAAAGGAGTTTAAAAGGTTGACCCAAATCAACTAGAATCAGGACTGAGATGGACATCAGGGAAAGAGGACACCCACGAAAGTGCTCATACTGTAAAACATCAGGGCACATAAGAAATCATTGTCCTCACAACCCTGACATTAGAGGATCCATATCCCATCATTAATTGTATTAAATTTTTGTACTATCTTTCATCCATTCAATAAAAGTTCTATTCACTTACATCTTAATTTTTTTTCTTTTACATTTTAAATATATATTTCATTTAGTGTAAACATAATTTTACTATAAATTATTCTTTAATCATATAATAGTAACTTAAGAAAGCTGAAATCTATAATAGGAGTGTGACTTTCACTACTACAAAATATACTTTCTACGTCGTTATTTAACGTCGGTTATAGCTGAGACGACGTAGAAAGTACTTTCCACGTCGGTTCTCAGATGAACCGACGTTGAAATTGAATATTAAACACATTCTACGTCGGTTCCCATATGAACCGACGTTGAAAGTCTTTTTTTATTTTATTTTTTACTTACTGATAGCGGTTCCCTTATAACCGCTATCTAATATGCACTTTAGATAGCGGTTCCCTTATAACCGCTATCTAATATACACTTTAGATAGCGGTTATAAGGGAACCGCTATTATATCCTCTCAATTATGATCGATCATTTCAAGTTATGATCGATCGAATCTAATTTCGCTCGAGCGAGGGTAGTGTCGCTCAAGCGAAATACAACCCGAGAATGCTAATTTTGTGCAGGGGCGTTTCGCTCGAGCGAGAAGGGTGTCGCTCAAGCGAGATACATTTTAGATAGCGGTTAACCTGGAACCGCTATTATATTGTTTCAATTATGATCGATCGGAATGTAGTTATGACCGATCGGAACTATTTTAATCGATTAAATCTCGTTTCAATC